ATTAAGTGCTGGTGCAATATGCCACAAAGTTCAGCTTATAGTTGACTTTCCGCTCATCTTTGACTTCAGTAAAAAACTGCCCAACCAACTTTGATAAACATTCGAACGTGCCGCCACACACCAGCGCAAGAAGAAATCCGGGCCCAGCGCCACAGGGCCGACCGCCACAACTCATGATTGCATATCGCCAGGATTACGGGCGCGCATCGGGTAGCGAGGCCCACGTCGCGTCGCGTCCCGTCGCATCGGACCTGACCCAACCCAACCTTAGGTTAGGTTGGGTTGGGTAACCTGGGGTCTAACCTAACCTAACCTAATCTAACCTAACCTTCGGTGGATTAGGCCCTGTGGCGCTGGGCCCAGATTTTTTCATGCGCTGGTGTGTGGCGCCAAGCTCGAAAGATTATCAAAGTTGCTTGGGCAGTTTATCTATACAATTAGCGATCAGATGAGCGAAAAGTCAACTGTAAGCTGAACTGTGTGGCTGGTTGCACGCGGCTCGTCAAAGGAACACACACACACTCGCAAAAATACATGCTGGGCCTCGTAATTTCATCCGCGGTGGTAGTGGCCATCCCGACTCCGGGTGCCCCGAAAAAACACCGGAGTGCTTTCCGAACATGAGCCCTGGAAAGAACGGCCGTAAACGGGGACTAAGGCTCAACTTGGATTGGTCCATACGCTGTTTTGTCCTTTCTCTCTCTCGCACTCATTGCTCAGATGCGGCACGTCAAAGGAGCACACTCGGCTATGAAACGCCGCCCCGATTATCGTCTATCTCTCTCCCACTCATTGATCAGATGCGGCAAACCGCGGCTCGTCAAAGGGACACACACACACTCGCAAAAATACAGGCTGGGCCTCGTAATTTCGTCCGCGGTGGTGGTGGCCATCCCGACTCCGGGTGCCCCGAAAAAACACCGGAGTGCTTTCCGACCATGAGCCCTGGAAAGAACGGCAGTAATCGGGGACTAAGGCTCAACTTGGATTGGTCCATACGCTGTTTTGTCCTATTTTCTCTCTCGCACTCATTGCACAGATGCGGCATGTCAAAGGAGCACACTTGGCTTTGAAACGCCGCCCCGATTATCGTCTATCTCTCTCCCACTCATTGACCAGATGCGGCAAACCGCGGCTCGTCAAAGGGACACACACACACTCGCAAAAATACAGGCTGGGCCTCGTAATTTCGTCCGCGCTGGTAGTGGCCATCCCGACTATGGGTGCCCCGAAAAAACACCGGAGTGCTTTCCGACCATGAGCCCTGGAAAGAACGGCCGTAAACGGGGACTAAGGCTCAACTTGGATTGGTCCATACGCTGTTTTGTCCTATTTTCCCTCTCGCACTCATTGCTCTGATGCGGCACGTCAAAGGACCACACTCGGCATTGACAAGCCGCCGTTTTATCGTCTATCTCTCTCCCACTCATTGATCAGATGCGGCAAACCGCGGCTCGTCAAAGGGACACACACACACTCGCAAAAATACAGGCTGGGCCTCGTAATTTCGTCCGCGGTGGTGGTGGCCATCCCGACTCCGGGTGCCCCGAAAAAACACCGGAGTGCTTTCCAACAATGAGCCCTGGAAAGAACGGCCGTAAACGGGGACTAAGGCTCAACTTGGATTGGTCCATACGCTGTTTTGTCCTTTCTCTCTCTCGCACTCATTGCTCAGATGCGGCACGTCAAAGGAGCACACTCGGCTTTGACAAGCCGCCGTTTTATCGTCTATCTCTCTCCCACTCATTGATCAGATGCGGCAACCCGCGGCTCGTCAAAGGGACACACACACACTCGCAAAAATACAGGCTGGGCCTCGTAATTTGGTCCGCGGTGGTAGTGGCGAGCCCGAATCCGGGTGCCCCGAAAAAACACCGGAGTGCTTTCCGACCATGAGCCCTGGAAAGAACGGCCGTAAACGGGGACTAAGGCTCAACTTGGATTGGTCCATACGCTGTTTTGTCCTTTCTCTCTCTCGCACTCATTGCTCAGATGCGGCACGTCAAAGGAGCACACTCGGCTTTGACAAGCCGCCGTTTTATCGTCTATCTCTCTCCCACTCATTGATCAGATGCGGCAACCCGCGGCTCGTCAAAGGGACACACACACACTCGCAAAAATACAGGCTGGGCCTCGTAATTTGGTCCGCGGTGGTAGTGGCGAGCCCGAATCCGGGTGCCCCGAAAAAGCACCGGAGTGCTTTCCGACCATGAGCCCTGGAAAGAACGGCCGTAAACGGGGACTAAGGCTCAACTTGGATTGGTCCATACGCTGCTTTGTCCTATTTTCTCCCTCGCACTCATTGCTCAGATGCGGCACGTCAAAGGAGCACACTCGGCTTTGACAAGCCGCCGTTTTATCGTCTATCTCTCTCCCACTCATTGATGAGATGCGGCAAACCGCGGCTCTTCAAAGGGACACGCACACACTCGCAAAATACAGGCTGGGCCTCGTAATTTCGTCCGCGGTGGTAGGGGCCATCCCGACTCCGGGTGCCCCGAAAAAACACCGGAGTGCTTTCCGACCATGAGCCCTGGAAAGAACGGCCGTAAACGGGGACTAAGGCTCAACTTGGATTGGTCCATACGCTGTTTTGTCCCTTCTCTCTCTCCGCGTAACGCGAGGGTTGAAACGCATACTTCTTACGCTGATTGTGAACTTAGGGGTGCATTTTAGACTTTTTCGATGCGCTCATTGTGATTTTGCGTCATTTTCACAAGTGGCTTGGCGTGAATTGCGATATATCGAATGTTGCCATTTAAACCTGTGGAAGAAGATTGATAAATAGGGTATTCGCAGCGAACACCTTAACAACCGATTCTTTGTTGAATGGCATAACAATCGATAAATCGCAATTCACGCCACGCCACTGCAAAAAACATAATTTCTTTTCGCTCTATCTGAATTTTGCAACAGGCCCATAATTTGAGGCCTTGTCAAAGCGAACACGGTTTGCGCGGCTTTGAGCGAACTTGTTACAGGAACTTATTATACCTTAGGTATAACCTATTCCTCGAACCCCCCAGTTCGTAGTTCTAGTTCGTTCAAACTGCGCTCATTCTGACAAGGCTTAGGCAATGGATTCGAGCAAGGCGAAAATAAAATTCAACAACAAACGCAATTTTTCGGCTGATGATGGTTGATTAGCAACATATCGAGGAAAAGATAAAATTAAAATTCGCCCAACGGTGACTGAAGAATATGCTGGAGTGAGCGCGCATTGCCGGATGAGTTTTCGCCGAGTTGGCTGGGATTGTTGAACTCTTTGGTCATCAGTCATCATCGGACAAATCTGAGCGTTGACTTCCGATAGACTGCAACACTATACGGCAGGTGGGGTGCAGGGACTCTAAAATATGTTATGAGCGCTTACGCTAAATCCTTTCGAAGGGTGATAATAACTCGGGCATCCTTTAACAGCGATATCCTTGAACTCCGCATTAACTTTGAACTCCTGCCAAAAATTTACAGTTACATTTCGAAATTTCAGGGTGTTTTTATAGCGCCAAAAGATGCAACGTTAACACCCTGATATTGTGGGATACTCATCTCATTTTTCTTCCGTACTTAAATGCACGTTTTACCTGACTTCGTCACGATTTTAGGATTTTTTACACTGACAATTAAAATTGTGAACGCTTCGAATGATTTTACAACCCGCTCTTTAACATTACGGACTTTTTAATGGCTTTGCAAACTTTACAAACCCTAAAAAAGTCATAATTATGCAAACGGAGGATGGATTTTGAAACGGCTTCAAAATCCTTCATCATCGGATCGTAACCTGCCACGCATTGAACATACAGTCTCTCTCTCGCGGCCAAACGAGCTACTAACCGTGTGGATTTCCGCAACATCCGATAGATGGTAGAATGTTCGCCCTTCAAATCGGAGAAAGTTGAAAGCGCGCCAAAATTGAACTTTGAGAGTTTCCTCACGGAACCTCCAGGACATTATCGAAAGTAAGGGTTTAAAATCCACCAAACCTAATGAGTTTGTAACAGTGGCGAGGCGTGCTTTTGGGATCCATCAATTGATCCAACATTTAAACATATGGAAAAGGATCGATAAACAGGGTGTTCGCAACGAACACCTTCATTATCGATTTCTTAACCAGAGCTTTATATGGGGAAATATCGCCAACACCGCTCAACATGGGTTCTCGTCCTTTGAACCAAACCAATTTTTTTGCGATTTCTAGGTGCTAAAGATGTCCAAGAATGCCCATATTAATTTCAGGAAAATTGTCTGGTGCTCAGGGCGCCGCCATTATGAATTTTTCAAAATTGAGAAAACCCACAATTAGATTTTTTCAAATATCTCCTCAACGGTTCATTCCGCGAAAAAACAACAGCAGAAAAAGCATGAATTCCCTACCAAAATCACTCTCCCCTGTTTTTTCTAGCTTAATTTTTTGGTCGTAAAATTAACGTTTTCTAAAAATTTAGCTGAAAAATCGCATTTTTACTGATTTTAGGAGCAACTTTGTTTCATATCTCTAGCCATGATTATCTGAGGAATAAACTTTTATGTTCATTGAAAATAACGTAAAATTTACTTTTATTAAACATATGTCAACAGTTCTTGAGCTGGATTTAACCCTGTGAAATAGCAGTTTATTAGCGCCACCCTTGAATTGTGATTTTATCGACCCCGAGGGAGATCTGAGGGATCTTTTTATCTGAGGGAGATCCCTTAAAATCAAGGGGGAAAAAAGGAAAAAACCTAAAAACGTGGCTCAAACTGCGTGACAAGGTGGTAAAATAGTGCTGGGCCCACACTATTTGGGGGAGGGAGGGTCAAAGTCAATCAGTTCAAAAATGTTCAATCACAGCCAAAAATTTTGAGCTCTAATGAGGATCAGTACAAAACTGATGGGGAAGAGTGTTCAGCTCAGGCAGTTTATATTGGAATATTAAGTTGAGGTCACGCCGAGAGATCTATAATTTTGGGTCTATTTATAACTCACGAGTAGATCACACGTGATTCTTGTTTTTCAGATCCCGGAGCTGGCCGGATTCTGGATGCTGTCCTTCCTGCTGCAACTGCCCCTTCAACTATTCCTGCTGGCCAACGAGGGGGTGCGCCCGACGGGGGTTGAGCGGGCCGTGCAGGGCGTGGAAGTGGCCCTTCTCCTGGCCCAGCTCGGCACCGGCTTCGTGGCCCTCCGCACGACCGCCGCCCACCAGGCCCACAAGTTTCACCTCGCCCAGTTCCTCGCCCCCGGGCCGGGCGCCTTCAAAGAGGCCGCCGGCAGCACGCCCGACGCCCCGCGCGACGAGGACCCCTTCCACGACGTCCGACGCAAACCGCGAGGCACCGAGAACCCCTTCGAGGACATGCAACGCAACCTCCTCGTCTCCGACCAACTCTTCCGGGACGCCGAACGCATCCCCCTCGCTAGCATTTCCAGAGGATCCTCCACCAAAACTGATTAACACCAACGATCAGAAATGGGCCAGAAGACGAGGTCTCAACTAGGATATTACACCGAAAAAAAGATGCTGATTCAATATTCTGGATTTAAAACAGTGTGCAAAAACTCACATACTCACAAAACAGTGAATTAACGCTACAGCAGTTATTTTAGCAATGTCGAGATGTAAAACTAACTGCTGCGGCGGTTAATTCAGCGTTTTGTGAGTTGTCCTACTCTTTTACATCCGGAATGTTAAATCAGCAACACTTTTTTTCGGTGTGCAGTGTTCCGAGACGAAGCTCAACAAAAATCGCTTTACTGGACATTTTACCTCCGTGGGTCATGGCCCAATTCAAATGTGGACGGTCATAAGTGCTTTTTCATTACTGCTGGTGACAATTGTACGACAATAAAAAATTATGAATATATTTGGTAGATTTATGAGAGAAAAAATAAAATTATTCAGGCAAACAGGGGTGCGGAAAGTTCTTCGGCCTGCGAAGCCTCGAGCAACCAGGGAATCAGCTTACGCACTGTGACTTTGCGCGTTCACGGTAATTTTCTGATGATTGAACGCAATTGCATTAGTTTTCAAGGAGTCCATGCTTTCACCGTGAAAATATCAAGAATTTAACGCTTCCGCGATCATTTTTTCAATGGATCAACTTATAAACAGTAATTTCCTAAACAATTTACCACTTCCGCAGTAATTTTCTTTAATATATAACGCCTTCGTATTAATATTGTGATCATTAGTGCGTTCGTGCTAATTTTTGCAAAACATCAACATCCTTGTCATATTTGTTCACAGAAATCAGTGGATTGAGCATTCGCTCTTCGGAATAAAACCAATTTTTATATTCGTATGACCGAACGTTAGGTTCAAGAAACCGAACTTCTTACATTACTTCACTTTAACCTCAAAGGTTCGAGTTGACGAACCGGATAGTTGGGATGATTTGAAACACTATTTTCCCATTCATTTTGTGGAGGAGCAATTTTATCGTCTTGGAACTCGTGATATTATCGTATCACGTGTTCTGCCCCATAGAACTTTTGTACTCACGCGTTAAAGTCTCTCAGTCCGCCAAAAAGAGTTCACGGTTTTACCTACTTGGAAGTCTGAATAATTGTATCAAGCGCGCTTCACCCCATCCAAATGTTCTATTTCTGCGTTAAAATCTCTGAGTCAGTCAAAAAGAGATCATCCTTCATTTTATAGACATGCAATTTTACCTACTTGGAAGTTGGAACAAGCAGTAACTCCAGCGTACTGCCGCTGGAGAGCGGCTCTGGGCCGCTCATATCCAAGACATATATTAACTACTAAACGTGTTTAGCGAGCTGTGCGAGCTGTCACGCCTAGCCGGGGAGTGCCCCTAGACCCCCAGTTCCTCGCCTCGCGATGAACTTGCGACTCGTTCCGCGAGCCGCCCCTCATAGCTATTAACTTTTAAAAGAACGAATTTCCTTTTTTTAACGAAGTATGGTGAATAGTGGCGAATATGTTATCTTTGTCCTCATCCACAATCAGCAGACTTAGCATTTTAAGCTACGGCCGTCATCTTGGATTTTGAAATTTTGAAAATCTAACCAAAAATTCGAGTTTCCCGTTGAAAAATACCTCCGGATACCGAGTTTCACGAAAATTGAGCGAACAGGAGCAGACTTAGCATTTTAGGCCACGGCCGCCATCTTGGATTATGAAATTTTGAAAATCTGACCAAAAATTCGAGTTTCCCGTTGAATAATACCTCCGGATACCGAGTTTCACGAAAATTGAGCGAACAGGAGCAGACTTAGCATTTTAGGCTACGGCCGCCATCTTGGATTATGAAATTTTGAAAATCTTACCAAAAATTCGAGTTTCCCGTTGAAAAATACCTCCGGATACCAAGTTTCACGAAAATTGAGCGAACAGGAGCAGACTTAGCATTTTAGGCCACGGCCGCCATCTTGGATTTTGAAATTTTGAAAATCTGACCAAAAATTCGAATTTCCCGTTGAAAATTACCTGCGGATACCAAGTTTCACGAAAATCGATTGAACAGGACCCGACTTAGCATTTTAGGCATTAATACACAACAACGCCGCTAGGGACGAATCCGTCCATGAAGTAGTACGACTAGGAGGCTCCAACCACGGCATTCTTCCAAAAAAGCGTGAAAACTTGTCGTTTTGAAAATTCAGATTTTAAACGTTTAGTACATTTTTTTTTCAATGCGAGATTAAAGCACAGTTCAGTTTTGAATTATCGACAGTATCACCATGATTCCAAAAATACACTACACAACACATCATTCGCTCACAAGAAAAAACAATGAATTAAAATAAAATCATGGCAAGATCCACAGCCGAAAATGGCGACGATTCCCATCTACGCGCTCTAACCAATGGCAGATGTACCATTGGTAACATCCTCTGCGTCTGCAGAGACCGACCGGAATAACAGCTCTAGGTGCTAGCACCAGAGCCGCTAATATTTGTATCACGCGTTTCAACTCATCCAACTTTTCTACTCCAGCGTTAAAGTCTCTGAGTTAGAGGAAGCGCCTGCAAGACTGCAGAATACTTCTAGCATTGCGCAATCTCTACTCGATCTCCAGTCCCGCCTTCGGCTCTTGACTCGGGAATTGCGCTAAAGTCCGAGATGCGTGCGCTACTTAGAAATGCATACTGCCGTGCTAAGGAAGAACGCCGTATGAAAATTCGATAGTTGCCAAATTTCCCATGTTAAAACATGTATTTTTGACTACATTCATGCATATTGTTCCTTGAAAATTTCAGATGTTTTAGATTAAATTGCGTACAACATTGTGTGAAAATTTTGGAAAAAAGTATTTAATATTTCTCCAGTAAATTCAGTTTTTATCGAGGGGAACTTGGCAACGCCTGAAGGCTCATACGGCGTTCTCCCTTAGCGCGGCAGCAAAAGGCAGCGCTCTCACACAGCTGCGGTGGGTTTACGCAAAATGGAGCGCATTTTGGTAAAGACGTGATGAATTTTTTTAATCCATTATTCAAGGTTGCAGCTACGCAATAATCCCACTCTGCCGTGCTAAGGAAGAACGCCGTATGAACATTCGGGAGTTGCCGAATTTCCGTCGATAAAATGTTCATTTTTGAGGAAAGTTATGAATATTTTTCTTTGACATTTTCAGGAACTTGAGGTAAAATTACGAATAAAATTAATTGAAAAATTGGAAGAAAACAATTCATAAATTTACCAGGAAATGAGTGTTTTATCGGATGAAATTTGGCAACGCCTGAAGGTTCATACGGCGTTTTTCCTTAGCACGGCAGCTCTGACCACGCGCACGGTTCGCGAACGATCGATAGGTCGATGATTTGTGAACATTCTGTAACTATCCAGGCAATCATTAGATCATAAATGATGGAAACAATGTTAAATATCCTTCTGTTGAAAGTTATAAAATAAAAAAAAACTCAGGACTCTTTTCTACGTTTCGTTCGTTGATTTAATTGATTTGGTGAATCACCTTGGAATAATCAGATTGGTGAGCAATGTGTGTGATTGAAACCTCGGCTTGTTTAAGAATTAAGTATGCTAATTCCGTGCCTCAGATGTAATGTGGCACAATTTAAATTGCATAATGACACTACCATTTTTCAGCTCATTTTTCTTGCATTCAGGGTGTAAAAATTATTTTTAAAATTTGTTTTATTAGGAAAAAACTTGTTTTCAAACTTACAGCCTGAGTAATCTAGCTTTTGCTGAGTCTAAAAGCACTTGGTCAAAATTACTTTTCGGATGTAGGAGAAATATGCTTGAGACAGAAAATATGATACTTAAGTATTACGTTAATATTGTGATTTTATTTTCCCTGAATGCTATTTCAATGATTGAATAAAGTTTTTTATCTATTTTTAAGAGAGTCAGTTAATGTCCTTTTCATTTTTCTATTTTTCTTTTAATGCAGTTCCTCTGACTGATAGTCCACCAAACCGCAAATGCGAGACGCGAAAAGACCGTATTAAAAGATACAACTTCAGGTGTATTACAAATGTAATACATGATGATTATAAAATCACAAACAATTAATGTAAAAACATTTTAAAAAGAATAACACTAAAACATACTTTGAAAACACTTATTAGAATAAATCTAGAAAAAATAGAAAATCTTCAGAAATGAAGTCCGTGTTCTTTTTGGCCTTTCAAAAATATTTCCTAAAACTTTAATGTAAAAATATCATCGTCTTAAAAATACGTTAAATAAATAAAATAAATGAAACGAAATTAAGATTCTCGTTTCCCTTCTACAAGATATAGTGACCGGAGGCATTTCACGCCTCTGAGTATTGCAATTCTAAAATTCATACTTCCGGTGAGTCCCGGAATGAGAACTAAGCTGTTTCTTTCTGTCAGGTATTTTGCCTTCAACATTGAATAACGCAAAACATGTTGCACGTTTGAACTCAACTGCTTAAGTCGCCAACCGGCACAGCGGTATACAGAATTTGGTCTGGATAAAGTCAGTGAGAATATAAATGGATTGAAAGACTCCTCTTACGAGAAGATCACCTATCGACGGTGCAAGTCGGCAATCACATAACTCGTTTGCGGTGTCTGAGAATCTCCGCAACTATGTTATTATTTTAAAGGAGAACCAATGGACGTGATTCCTTGAAGTTTTTGCAGAATTTTCCTCGCACATAGAAGAAAAATCATGGCAGTTTTAAAGAATTACCGTTGAGTAGTTTTCCGTTTAACAAATAAAGTATGACAGGAAGTCTGCGACGTCGCAAACCGAGTTATGTGATTGCCGACTTTCACCGTCGCTATGCCGTAGTATCGTTTTCGAAGCGGGAAGCTTAAAAATGCGCACATTTTTTACGCAGATTGTAAAGTTAGGAGTGTATTTCAGATTTTTCCGATGCGCTCGTCGTGATTTCGGAGCCATTTTCTATGAGGAATAGTTCTTCTTTTTATTTTGACTGAGGTTTGCAAAAAGTGACTGGATATGACCAGATTATGATGCGTTCCGTAAAGTATAGACTTTCAATCAGAAGAAAATCGTAGATTGAGGAAGTGCCGGTTGGGCTCAAAATCGACTCATATCGATATCTCCTCTTTGGAAAAAATAAATCCCACTCAGAATGCATTGCGCCAAAGCTGAGGATCCATCTTAAAGTCTCCTGCACGAGTGGCCCACGACGTCGCGAGTCGCGTCATGTCATGTCATATAGATGAGACTTCTAAGAGCATTATTGGATGAGCCACGAGACACATACAAGTATATGCTAATCGTGGCTCATACGGAAACGCACTAACGGTCCTCTTCCGTAACACGGCAGTTTCCTCCTTGAAACTCGGACAATGGACACGATCGGTAACGACTCATTCATCTGCGTCGACGACGAAAACCGGGCCGTAACGACGAAAAACAAATTGAATCACTGGATGTCGAAATCCGACAAGTCCGTTCCTTGATGCGCGCTGAAGTGAACCCGAGGAATGGCTGTATGGTTGCTGTTCGTGTTACGTCACGGAAAAAGCGATACATCGTCACCTCCTGGCCAAAGTATCACGAGCGCCATGCGACGTTTCGAAGTTTCCGCCGCCATTTTATTTTTTCACAGAGAAATGGTTGGCTGAATCTGTTTGGAAATTTCACAGAATTTTATCGGCAGTACTAGGAAAATTTGGACAAATTTTCGGACAGCTTCCTTGAACAATTTCTCTGTAAAAAAATAAAATGGCGGCGGAAATTTTTAAACGTCGCATGGCGCTTGTGATACTTTGGCCGAAAGGTGACGATATATAGATTTATTTAGTGAATTTATATCGAACATCGCTAAAATAATCGCGAATCACATCGCGAACTACCCTGGAATATCAAAAAACAACTCCGCGACGGTGATATCCGGAAGTTTTTCAATTTACTTCGCGATCTTCTTTTGAGCAAGGCTTTTTATAATTTGAACGAGTTTCTAAACTCATCTGTTGTGTAACGTTCTAACCACCAACTAATCTACAGTTGTAATTTATATTTTTAATTATTGTATAGTGTTTCTTGACCTGTGCCATAGCCCTAATAATGGGGCTCCCATGTACAAAAGTTTTAATAAATAAATAAATAAATAAATGTAATGAGTGATTGAATGAACCAGAGCGATGACCAGTTGTTCATAATCATTGAAGAATACTTCTTGTAATTCTTGTTTACAGAGGTCTACTTGATAGTGGATACGATGAATTGTGATTATTTAGTATTGAATAATTCTTTATACATTTTGTTTTTAAAATGTGACGTATGTAATTAAGCTCTGATGATGACTATCGAGTCGAAAAGCCTTAACCAATAAAAAAAGTTCAAAATTTACATCGCTTTGGTCTGTTCAATCTCTCATTATCGATTAATTCTCATTGGTAGCATTTTAGGGCAAGTTTCCTTGGATTTCGAAATTCCTTGACGTTCCAAGATTTTCGGACCTAAAATTTCTTTACTTTTCAATGAATTAAAAGGTTTTCAGACATAGAATTTCATGACTTTTCAGGGTTTTCGGTCTTACTGATAGTCAGTACGAAACCACGTACCTCCAATGAGGTGTTTCATAATGTCCACACCTATTTTAATTTTTCGAAGAGAGACAAGCTTTATAGCTTTGAATTTTTACAGAATATTCTGCTTACAGGGGAGAAAAATCAAGGAAATTGTCGAGACATTAGGTTGACTGATTTTCCAAAGGAAGAAAAAAGTATATGGGTATGCCATTTAAAATAAGTCAAAAACGTCGCAAACAGAGATAAAGCTTTCACACTTTGGCCATTATAGAATTTCTTCACTTTTCAATGAAGTTCCCCGACCGCCTGACTTCAGGTCAATAGGTCACGGGTTCGAATTCCGGTAGTGGCGTCAATCTTTGACCGAACTGACGAGTAGATCTATGCAAGAACAGATTCTACTCGCCCTTAAACCCTGATTTGAAAAGCCTCGAGCATGGATTTCTCTATCGCCCTTATGTCACCGAACAATTTCAGAGCCAATATTACCGTGCTAAAGAAGAACGCCGTATCAGGCTTCAGGCGTTGCTGAATTTACTCTTAAAAAAAATCTATTTTTGAAGAGAGTTGAGAATATTTGGACTGCATTTTGCAATTTGGAATTATATATTCTGGCTCTCCTAGAAAAACACTTATGTGCATAGGGAAACTAATGGCACATATACGTTGTTTTCAAACCGGGCTAGAATTTATAGTTCCAAATTGCAAAATGCAGTCCATTTCTCCTTAAAATTTTCACTTTTAGATCAAATTACGGACAAAATTCTCTGAAAAATTGAAAGAAAAAGACTCACAACTTTTTCCGAAAATTCTTGATTTGTCAAAGGAATTTTGGCAACGTCTGGAGGTTCATACGGCGTTCCTCCATAACAAGGCAGAATAAGTCAGCAAATAAATCCCAAACTTTCCCGTGCTTTTCAGGGTTGGGCAAAATTGATTGACTACTCAGAAAATCGTACTCGTGATATTACGTTGTCGTTGTCCCGATCCTATGCGAACCGCGGAGAATCCCCGTGAGAAGGTTCATCGGCTAATGCACAAGAGCGGTTTTCTGCCGTGCTAAGGAAGAACGCCGTATGAACATTCGACAGTTGCCAAATTGCCTTCTATAAAATTTTTATTTTTGAGGAAAGTTATGAATATTTTTCATAGAAATTTTCAGGAACTTCAGAACAAAATACGAACAAAATTCTCTGAAAATTTGAAATAAAAATATTCATAAATGTACCAGGAAATTCGTGTTTTATATGCAGAAATTTGGCAACGCCTTAAGGTTCATACGGCGTTCTTCCTTAGCACGGCAGTTTTGTCATCCATCGGTTCGATTAACCGCGTCCGAGTGTTTTGACGTCCAGTGGCGTGGCGTGCTTTGCGATATATCGATAGATATGCTACTCAAACCTATGAAAAAAGATCGATTGTCAGGGTGTTCGCAGCGAACACCCTAGTAATCGATTCTTTTCCATAGTTTCAAATGGCGAGATATCGATGATCGATCATTCACGCCACGCCACTGTATGACGTCCCGATCGGAGGAACGGGAGAACGCAGTCTCGGTCGGGTCTGACGCGATTTTTCCTCTCGCTTTTTCGTTTTCGATTTCGTTTTCGGTGAGTCACGGGCACGGTGCGTAAGTTTAACCTTGCCCCCCCCCACCCCGGCTCGGGCTGCTCCGGGTGCCCCGCCGCCAAGTTGCCCCCAAAAGTAGACCGGAGGCTGCGGCCTGCGCCGCACAGGCTGTTGGAAATTTTGGAGTGAAATTCTGTGGCGTGGAGTACCTTTATAGACAGAGTATGGCCATTTCTGTTCCGGTTTTTCATTGGTCGCGTGAAAATAGGCTGACACGATGTTCTTAGGGCCGTAAATAAACAAACAAGATGGCTGTTATCAGCAAGCAAGATTGAGGTTATGCACATCTTACATCCTCCTGTGATAAAGCTGAAAAGCGATTTAACAATGTTTTCATGTGTTTTTCGTGTGTTATTCGTAGACATGCTAGTTTAAATTGTTACTGCCGCATAATTGAAATTTTTGTCAAATTTAGCTTCTTATCGATGTTACTGTGAGCCGCCATCTTGTTTGTTTATTTACGGCCCTAAGAGCATCATGAAGCCTAAAAACTCGTCGACCAATCATAAAGCGGAAAAGTTTTCCTGTAGTAAAGAGATACGAATGGCCATACTCTGTCTATAAAGGTACTCTACTGTGGCGGAGTCAATACAGCGGCCAAAAAACCCGAGGGATATGAATGCAGAGCGGAACATCTTTTCTTTACGGAGTGACTTACACTATTATGGAGCGGAATCTACTCTTTTTGCTGAGTCTTATACGCTTTGACACACGTAGAATCATACATGTATCATGACATGTAGAATGGTCTAATAAACATTTTTGTAGAAGAATAAAACATCGTATCAAGGCTAATTTTTCCATATTATTTTATTATTTTTACTTAACGCTACCATTCTGAGATGTTTCAGTTCATTGCAAAATGATTAAACGAGAGGCTTGTAGGACAAGGCGCATAAGTGCAGTTTTTGCTGTTTCGAGATATATGTGTTTGAAGTTTCGAAATTGCATGGAGGCTTATGGCGGAAACAGAGTTCAAACTGACTTTTTGATGCTTAAAAATTGGAATTTGACAGCGAATTTTTCATATCATATGCATCAAGACTAATTTTACGTCAAATCATTAATATCTCAATAATTTCAAAAACTTCACTCATGAGTTTTGTCCGTCAAGCCCCTCGAATGAAGTCCAAATGGATTGCATTTTTGCAAAAAGGAACCACTGGCATTGCAATGATGCTAAGATTGTGCAACTTCATCTTTTGCAATAAAATTGGGGAAATCGTGAAAAACTATGAAATTTAGATGGTAATTTTTGTCTTAAATTTACAGTTTTTAGCGAGTAAAATAGAAACTATTAATGGATAATCGGGTTTTTCCTCCGAGACAAAAGAAGTTGCACAATCTTAGCAACGTTGCAATGCTAGTGGTTCCTTTTTGCAAAATGCAATCCAAATAGTGTAAGGCGGGAAGTCTCCAACGCCGCGCTGCGAACCACGTGGTTCCGGTGCCGGAGCCAAGGCATCAATACTTGAAATTCACAATTATCGAGGAGCTATAGAGGCAAGGCTGCGCGCGACAACAACAACAACTATCAGTCGCGCACATAAGAGAGTATAGTTAAATCGTTCGGCGTGGTGGCAGAGCAATTATAGTGGGGGGATTATCTGGCCTCCAGAGCGTCGCGGCGGCGGCGCGGCGGGCGCACGGCGCTCGAACTCGACATTATCAACAGTTGCGCGCCGCTGCGAGTGCTGTGACAAGTGAAACCTCGGAATTAAGTGCGCCAGTATTCCAAACGATGGCTTATAATGACTAAAGACAGGCTCAAAGCGATACAAGCGGTAAGTTCTTCCTATTTTGTCGCTAACTTGGGTATTTTTTTAAAAAAAAAAATTGATGGACGTACCACGTATCTCCATTGCGGTATTTCAAAATTTCCGCTCCTATTTCAATTTTTCGGAGAGAAAAAAGCCAACTCTATGACCTGAAATTTTTTCACATATTACTCTTTAACTGCCGTGCTAAGGAAAAACGCCGTATGAGCCCTCAGACGTTGCCAAGTATCCTCCGATAAAACCCGAATTTACAGGGAGAATTGTGAATATTATTTTCCATAAGTTTCAGACAGTTTTTTTACGCTATTTTTATCTAAAATGTCAGGAAATTTCAAGGAGAAATACGCGTAAATGTTGTCAAAAAGACATGTTTTATCAAGGGAAATTTGGCAACTCTCGAATGCTCATACGTTCATATCGATGGTCATAGTGCCAAACCACATAGCTCTATTGCGGTGTTTCAAAATATTCGCTCCTATTTTATTTTACCGAAGGGGAACAAGCCAATTCTACAGCTTGAAATTGTTATTGGTTATTCTGCTAACCTAGAAAGAAAAGTCAATGCATTTTTCAATAAATTACGATGAGTAGTTTTCCAAAGAAAAAGTAAAGCATGTCAGGACTAGAGTCCCTTTATGCTGAGAGTCAAGACAATTCGGCTCATGGATGTCACAAACGGGAATAAAGATTACAGAAATTGAACGTTTTTCGTAATCTTTGATCGGCCCATTCTCAAATGCCTTTCTCCGTTCCTCCTCTCATTCCGTTTGTTCCTTGCCGAACTCGTAATTCCCTGGTCCATTCCAGATTATAATCTTTGCAATTGGTGAAAATGTAATCTTTATTCCCGTTTGTGACACTGTGGAGGCCTAAAATACGGGAACCAATCAGAAATGGATTCAAATTGTCTTGACTCTCAGTATAAAGGGACTCTAGTCAGGACGTTTGCAAAGTCACAAACGGGTGAGACGGGTAGATATGTGGTCTCGTACTTTCGCCGTCGATATCTTGAAGATAAGTCGGGTCGATTGACTTGTAGATCGAGCCGAATAACTCGAATTGCACTTCACTGGCAATTTAAGTAATTTGGAGTCAATAAGAGTAGGTATGTGTTACTACCTCCTCTATGAAGATAGGTGCTTTCAGGGATGAGTCAGGAATATTGGTTTCCCGCATATTGTATACAATAAAATCCATTTGAAGTGAATTAAAGTCAAATGAACTGAGATATGATAGACTTTAATCGAGTCGGGACTTGCGAAAACCGCTAATGTCCATTTTTCAAGTGTTAAGTTTCGTTGAGTTTATAATACTTTTCGGAGTTGGTTGCAACCGCGAAAGTGGCGTTAAATCTCGTCTTCGGGTTTCTTCAATCCCAAAACGAGTCCTTTCATCACTTTAAAGGTTGTATCAACTCTAACTTTTTAAAAATATTATCAACTCAAGAAAACTAAAGACTGGAAAAATTGAAATCAGCAGTTTTCGCAGTGTCCCGATTCAATTCAGGGCCAGATCAGAAATTAACTCGATCTCATCTCGTCGCATTTCTAAAGTAAAGGCGTTTCACTATTTCCACGAGAAAACCCGGAAAGCATGAAGTTATATGGACAACAGGCCACACGTGGAAACAGAGATTCGTCCTCCTGTTAGAGGAGCAACAATCTTCAGCAATATTACCAAGTATAATAATTTTTACGATTTTGTTGCTGCGCAATTGAGGCCTTAAACCGAAAAGTATCCACCGAGAACGGTTCCAAGTTAGGCAGATATGCTGAAAATATTGAATGCAAAGGAACAAAACGGACAATACATAATCGTGCAGATGCCATTCAAAAGAAAACTGCAAACGTACTTAAAAACAAAAAGTACGCTGAGAATATTAACAAAAATGTTACCCCAAGTTTTTTTCCCGGTGTAAGCTCCTCTTATCTCGAGAAAAAATTTTAATGTGCTTAAATATGTCCATGATTTGAAAGATGGCAGGAAAAAATGAGTCCGTGAACTTTTCTAATGTGATAATCTTCGTGAAATCGTCACTCACAGCCGATCACGTGGGGAATTTAGGGAGCGAGTACCGCCAAAATTTGAAGTTTTGAGAGAGTTTCCGAATCGAGAATAGACTTTCCGAGAGGGCAGTTCGAGCTAGGAAGACGGACCTTGATAAGATAAGCTGGAATCTTCTTATCAGACTGCAATGCAAAAAATTTTCAAAATGTCTCGGAGTATATGATTCAAAATACGAGCACTTGGAATATGACTACTAGGAATACTCTCAGAAAATTCTTTCTGCATTGAAGTTCCAGCATGTTGACGGAATATTCACAGCGATGATATTTTTACAGGAGATCGTCCAAAAAAAAGAGGAATCAGAAAAAGAAAAATCCAAAAATACTATACACACACTTTAAACATGCGCACATGTTGTTTTTTCACATGTTTTCCGTGTTGTTACCGTAGTATGTTGGCAATGATATTTTTCTGATTGTCCCTTAAAAATCAAAATTTAAGGTTACCTTACGATCAAAATCAAGAATTCAAGAAAGAATACCTGGGCGGTATATGTTTTAGTGCCAAAAACCACGCCACCCGTTTCCTCTGTGCGTAGGTTTCCGTAAGTTCCAATCAACATAATGTGAAATATTAGGCTAGGAGTTGACAGGCAGTCAGTATTCATGTTGTCACTCTTGGAATGATAGCACCACACGCAAAAAAATAAGGGACAAATTATGAGCTAGCTACATACTGTTTTAAGAATTATGTGTAAACAAAGCGGGAAACAGGATACTTAAGGGTCGCACGTGCGCTAGTACCTCATGCTTTTCCACTCTTTCTAGAGGACTGAAATAGGAAACTTAAAGTTCAAAAAATTATACTTGTGTATAAATGAGAACTGGGAACAAAATCTCCAAAAATGTTTTGAGAGGTGTTTTGCAAAACTTTTTTTTACGAAAGGCATAAACGACTTACAATGCACTCCTTCATTTGGCAAAAAATCACTTACCTAATATCGAAAATGGATGCAATGAACTTTAAAACAGAACAGTTCGATAGATTTTTGGGAACTTTTACATCTTTCATCTTTTCATCAACTTTAAGCTTAAAAATATTTGTTTTTTTTATAAATAATTTTTTAATTTTTTATCATCAATTATTTTGAACTTGTAAATTTCATGGAAAACGAGTGTTTAACTAATATATCTATTTCCAAAAAAGGCTAAGTGACGGGCTTGTTTTGAGAATAGCATAGGAGACATGCGTGTTGTAAAAAGAATATAAGTTATTCTCTTTTTTCCAAAAAAAGATGTAAAAGTGTCATAAAATCAATAACCTTCCCCCTCCAAAAAAAAAGTGAATACTCCTATAAAAAACTTTTCATTTTTCATTTTCTGCCACACAGGAAACTTTCACAGTTGTCATGATAGATTAAAAAATCTTGAGTTCAATTTGTAGGAGAGCGATGAACTTTTGCATGAAATCACGAGCACTTGGAAAGCCTTAAGCAAACTTTTCGGCGCAACTTTTCAAAAATACTTGGGATATTAGGCATTCATACGGGAGCACACAGCCATGCTATAGTAGCAGGAAGCATTAGAGTTTTTTGCAAGTCGAGAGAGAAACTCGTTCATTCAAGGTAAAAGATAACCGAGCGATACGGGTCAATGGATTTTAAGCGGGCAGTTCAAAAACCACTCGTTTTAGATTCGTTTCAGTATAACGCCCAGGTTTAATTGCCAACATTGGAGGAAAAAAACCCCACTAAATGGTGGATTCGAAAATTTTTGAAATTGTGCGTCAGAGAGTGCGTTTTTTGACTTCTTTGACGTGTTTAGCGTGATTTCATGAGATTTAATCTGTAAAAATTCTGTCCATTTAAGACTACATTTTGTAATTTAAAACTACAATCTTTAATTTATTTTAGAAACAACATATGCGCCGTTAGTTTCCCTATACAGATAAATGTTTTTACGTATAACCGGGAATTGTAGTTCCTCTAATTGAACTGATTATTTTCGAAATCACGTGAGCGCCAAAATTTCGAATGCGAGAGAAACAAGAAAACCCGTTTCATTTGGTTTGTTGACAATCTTCGAATTCCATAAAGTGCACATGTTCTTTTAGAAGGCTATATTGAAATCAGACGTGATTATATCAGAGACAACACAGAAAAAACAACCCTTATACCTAATTTTGTAAAGCAACAGACCCACTAGATTCTCCTGAGAATTGGACTGCATTTTGCAATTGGGAACTACAATATCTGGTCCAGTTCAGAAACGACTTGTGAGCCATCAGTTCCCCTATGCAGATGAATGTTTTCATGGATGTGTCAGAAATTCTAGTTCCTGATTGGGAAATGTAGTCCAATTTAGCCTCTGTGTACTGGAAGTCCCTTGTATTGCGGTCGGAGGATGGTGACATTCCATGTTGTCCGTGCACACACATACCTCAAAATGTGGCAGTTGAACGGGTTTGGACTGTGGAGGCGCCGCGTGCGACGATTATTTCCGATTACTGGCAAAAATACTTTCACATAGGTGCTCGACGACGACGGATAATTAATGAGTCATTCATTTCAGCGCCCATAGTAGCGAGGGCTGGGTGCATCCGTTCAGCTTCTGTGCAGTTCGCATAACGGGCGAGGTTGGGAATGAGCTCTAAACGTCGGTCCCTTCCACTCACTCTGCTATGCTAAGGAAAAACGCCGTATGAACCTTCCGGCGTTGTCAAATTTCATTTGATAAAGCACGAATTTCCTGGTAAACTTGTGAAAATTTCCTTCCAATTTTTCAGATAATTTTGGGCGCATTTTTGCATGAAGTTCCCGAAAATTTCAAGGAAAAATATTCATATTGTTCCGGAAAAATATACAATTTAACGAAGGGAATTTGGCAACTCTTGAATGTTCATACGTTGTTCTTCCTTAGCACGGCAGCACTGTGAATGGATTCAAGGGCGGAACTAGGGCTTAGAAATCTACTTAGGCCCCTTTAGAAAAAGTGAGGAATTTTGCAAAATGAGAGCGAGACCTATCATCGTTTAAACTGTATATTAATAGATTTTTCGGTTGGAACAGAAGAAATTGGACGCATTCATGCTAAAAGGAACTAGATGCGTGTGGAAAAGATGGAGTATGCTCGTGCAAATTGAATAAAAAACAATGTAAAAGTGGGCGTGATTCTTCATAGGTTTAAATGGCAGAATAACCGATATATCGCAAAGCACGCCACGCCACTGTTTTGGAGGTAGAAGAGTCTTTAAGATCCCTTACGGGAGGAGTGTCTTTCTGTGTCCCCCCCCCCCCCCCCCCNGGACCCCCAATGAATAGAACTCCAACTCAGATGCAATGAAAGTAATTTGGAGTTAAAGCAGGGTCATTTTAAAGTGGATTCAGATGAATTGAAATACAGTCACTTTTGACTCAAAATTAACGTCAGAGTTGGCTCGTTCTTATCTTCAAACCTGCGGAAACAAAATACTATCATTTTTAACAATGTCTTCTCTGGTAAAATAGAATTTTCTGAATGTTCCTCATTCCAAGGTCTTCCATTCCAGATTTCATATCACTCCTTCTGAGTTTTTTCGCCTCGCAAAACAATGTATAGACGTTAATAACTCCGCATATGCAAAATCGACCGACGCGTGCTAGATCCATCATTCATCTATTAAGCAAACTTTCATAATAATTGGCCCTCCCCCGGCGTGGGTTATGTGTGCGTACAAAATTGAAAAGTGCTAAGACGTGTTTTTTCATCATTTGATGTGTAAAGAGTGCCTAATTAACAGAGGTGATTGATGAAAAAATGCGCAGATGTTCAAACACCTGTTTCCTGATATTCTATGGAAACACTGCCGTATTAGTATACACAAGGGGTGCCTCCGCACTCTTCTGCCGTGTTAAGGAAAAACAGCCTAAGTGTATTCTAGAGTTACCAAATTTCCTCCAGTAAAAGTTTTATTTTTGAAGAGAGTTATGATTATTTTCTTTTGAAAGTTCTAGATAATTTAGATCTAATTCCGAATGAAATTTTCTAAAAAACTGAAGGAAAACTATTCACAGATTCGCCGGAAAATTCGTATACTTTGACAGAAGAAATTTGGCAACGTCTGATGGATCATACGGCGTTCTTTCTAAGCACGGCAGTATCTGTAACACTTCGTTTACGGTCTGATTGTCCCAAATTTGTGGCGGATCTGGGACAAAGTGGACTGGGAAGAAAGAGGGGATCCATCACTTGGGAAAACATAAATATAATGCTAAACAGTGAAACTTTGCCGAAAAGGTGTGAAAAAATGGGCCACTGACAGGTTTAGACTGGAAATTGAGGCGTCTAGTTCCAAAAGCGGCAATTTCCATTGCCCTGTCTAAAAATTGTGCCATCACTATAATTTGGAAAGTGAAAGAACGGGAAAACATGTTCATGTTTTCTCGTGAAATTTCTGTTATTAAGCGAGAAAATTTGGAAAATTTTAAAAACAGCTGAACGTTTAAATTGTCCCTCACAGGCAATTAATATGATTACACACATTTTAGACAGGGCAATGGAGATTGCCGTGGGTTTGGAACTAGGGGGCCTTAACGAACCTTAATTGCATGTTTTTTTTTTTTTTTTCAAAATCTTAAAATCGTATAAAACGATTGACGCAAAGGGTGGCATGAAAATCAACTTCTGAACGAGTTCATTGAAAAGTAACTCAAACACAACTCAAATGGAAGTTAGATTGTACATTTGTACCTTGTCTAGTACACTGGAAAAAAAACCACATTGTATCTAGAGTCCAGACTCTTGAAAACATTGACAAGAAAAAGGACTCTTGACTCAATCAGATTTAAGCTTAAATCAAAAGGAAATCCGCTTAAATTAAGAGGCTTGGTTCTTGATTTAAGCTTAAATCTGATTGAATCAAGAGTATTTTTTCTTATCGATGTTTTTAAGAGTCTGGACTCTAGATCCAATGTTTTTTTATTTTCCAGTGTATTCTATTTACTGGCAATTAATTTTCATTAATGTGCTGATTTTCGATATTTGACACGTGTTCTAGGTGCTGAGAGATGAAGATCCTTACTATGACACAACCTTGGAATATGGAATGGTCAACGTCGCGCTGGACATGGAGGATGAGGAAGCAGGATACATGGAACACTTCTTTAGAGAGGTAGGTCGACGTGAGCCTTTTTTACATATAAATTCATGCCTTCTGGGGCTCATCATGAAAGCGAGTTACGCTCTTGCGCCAGAGGAGCCGTCCATAGATTGCGTCAGACACTTTCCCCGTCTTACTGTGTCCAAATGGGCCACTAAACCATGTGTTTTTTACTTTATGTTCTGGAAGTACCAGGTGAGAATATTACGTCGTGATTAATTGGGTATTTTTGGAGCCGAAATCCTGGACCCACCCGCTTTTAAAAATTTCGAAGACTTGACAGAATTTTAAACGCGCCGGAATGGCGGGAGAATATATCGTAGCAGTGAAGTACTGAGGGAGGGAGTCACATCTCAGCATCTCACATCGCTATCTCCTCTGATTCATCACTGATGTTTGTGAAATTAAAATGTGTTTTTAAGTGGAATTGTTGCTTGTTTACTACAGATGACAAGAATGAGGTTTGATTCATTGATTCTGAAGCTATAGTTTGGACTTTCCTACTGTTTTCAAATACGAGGAGTACAAACGCAATTGCCGGAATTTTCGTATTTTTTGAGCTTTGTGCGGTGAAATTATTACAACAGTAATTTAAGACGTTTGATGTGTTTTAGTGACTTCTTTTGCCTTAGAAATGTACTTAAAAGTATTAAAAAATTACTTAAAAAATGAAAAAAATGCGCATGCCACATAAGTTAATTCTTAAAACGTGTCAAAGTCGTTTTTTAGGCTGCATAACGTTTGCGCACACTTTTTTTACCGATAACGTTAGCGCACACTTTTCGCGAATATCATTTGCGCACACTTTTTACCGATAACGTTTGCGCACACTGCACTATTTGGCAACGCTTCAATGATGCGTCAGTAGTATCGCTTCGTGATAAGACAATTCAACGGACGGATAATTTATAAACGGACGAGGGGAAATTTTCATTTAAATAAATTCCAATGAGCAGGCAATAAGTAAATGAATAAATAAGTTAATAAGAAGAAAATAGAAAATGAAGAGAGTTAAAACAATAAGGTATATGGTTACTCACAGATTTTTCGCTGTTACTTCAGCTAAAAATGCTGTCACTGTCTTCACCGGAATTATCTTCAGTGGAAGGACGGGTTTTAGGGCTGTTTTCAGGGCAGGTTGCATTTGAAGAGCAAGTTTCATCAGCACCATTTTCAGAAATGGATTCATCAGGCTCGTCTGCATTGAAAGAGTCATTTACAGCCTCCGGGTTATTTTCTTCGTCTGAATCATTTTTGTCGGGATATTTAACTTCACGAACCATTTCCAGANTTTTTTAGATGTTCAGTTTTTCTCCTTTAAGTGAATATCTCTGAAACGATTTCGACTACATACCGCAATATGGAACTACAATTTCTGGCTCGGTTTAAGAACGGTATATGTACCATTATTTTCCCTGTGCAAATAAGTGTTTCTACGGATAAGCTGGAAATTGCAGCTCCTAGGTAATAATGGCGATTTTGCACACGGAACTTTCATTGCTTCATGTGAGAGTACTTAATGAGCTGAGTTCGCGGTATTTTTCATAATTTTTTCCTGAAATGGGAAAAACTGTAGGAAAAAAGATTTAAAAGTGAGAAAACTCGTGACGTCATCTAGTAGCATTTCATATTTAAGCACAAATATATTTCAGCAAATTGGTTAGTTTGTCATATTTCCTCTAATAATTGTCCAATTCAGGAACCAAGGATATCCTCGCGCTCAGTTCTCTTAGCAGTCTCATTTTTAACATGCACTGGGGAAAAAAACGCATTGGATCTAGAGTCCAGACTCTTAAAAACATTGACAAGAAAAAATACTCTTGATTCAATCAGATTTAAGCTTAAATGGAAAAGAAATCACCTCAAATTAAGAGGCTTGGGTCTTGATTTAAACAAGAATCCGATTGTATTTTTTCTTGGCGATGTTTTTAAGAGTCTGGACTCTAGATCCAATGTGGTTTTTTTTTCCAGTGTGAAATTGACAAAATCTCAAACACTTCCCTATTCTCAATTTCAAAATGTTGTCCGTATACCGTTTTTAAATATGTTCCGAAAACCGTTCATAAAGCGTCAATGCGCTATTATTAGAGGACCCATAATTGTCTACTTCCAATAATTCGGATACCGGTCGCGGTTGAGGAGCGGATACAGTATTGGATCACAGCCTTGTCGAGTAATCCACCGCCCGCGCCGCGTCGGTGCGGCGTCGCGACGTCGCTTCCGCACTGGCGCTCTCGCTGGTTCCGGCTCGAAGCGTCCCGCAACGCCGCGACGCGCGTTGAGGTTAGAGGTCATCGATAGAGAACGGTCCAAGACCTTGGAACAGTGCGATCTCCTTATCAATTGATTAAGGTTTCCCATTGCACATCCTGTCCCCTCATTCGTGGAAAGGAGAGGGAAAGTTAATTTGTGAACAGCCTGCGATCCTGAGGGCTGATTGTTGACATTCATAGACAAAGCTATAGACAAGGAAGACAAACGAAATATGGAGGGATCGTATTGGTGGAGGCGGCTGGTAGTAATGGACAAAGGAGGTAGGTGATAGACAAATTATCGGCAACTCACTAGAGACCCTGTAGTTAGTCCATACCCATTTCAACCAATGTGATCGCTCCGTGCTTCCTATGTCCTCTTAGTCTATCGCTTTGTCCATCAATATAAACAATCAGCCGGCAGGACCAATAGACAATTGCAAAATCGGTAAATAAATCACCGTGATACACGTTCTCCCATGAAAATGCAATACGATGTACATATCACAAATTTCCAATTGTAACTTACGCGGAAAAGCGATTGACCAAACAAAAATGGGCCGAGTTTTACAGAAATGCACCGAGTCGCATTTTGAAAGTAAGAAAGGAAAAAAGGAGAACAAACCGTAGTTGAGAGCGGTAGTAAATAATTGGACTACATTTTGCAATTTGGAACTATAAATTCTAGCCCGGTTTAAAAACAACGTACGCGCTATTAGTTTTCCTATGCACATAAGTGTTTTTCCAGAAGAGCCGGAATTTATAGTTCCAAATTGCAAAATGCAGTCCAATTGATGCTACATAAACTGAAAAATCGTCAATCAAAATAGGAAAATTTTTAAAATACTGTTACGATTTTCGTTTTAAAAACCCTTGCAGGGTATCTTCTTTGGGTGACATTTTCGGTGGGGGGGGGGGGGGAAATTTTNGGGGGGGTAAATTTTAAGTAAAAGCGTGTTAAAAAGCTCTTAAAACGTCCACTGTAGTCTTTCAAAACTAAAAATGTTTTACGGTGGTGTATAAAAACATTTATTAAAATATTCATTTTTTTAGGAATTTTTTACGTAATTCACACAGTTAAATAAACGAATATCTATTGAGGTACATCCTTTAAGAATAAGCAAATAAAAAAAAAATTCATTTAACCGCGGGAAATCCCGAAAAAGTCTCGATTTCTTACACGGTAATAAATGCACTGACTACAACGCAGAAAGAATATTTCCACGGGAAAACCCTTGCTTGTCTATCCAGTATCCAGTTTGGCTAGAGATATAGGTCATTTCATGTGTAGACTCATCGGTTATCATCGCATGCTCGAGCTAGAATGAGTGCATCCACTTGCATCCAAAAACGCCGTAAGTACATTCAACCGTTGCCAAATTGCCTCCAATAAAATGTTCATTTCTAAGGAAAGTTATGAATATTTTCTCTTGGAATTGTCATATACTTTGGATCTAATTTCAAATTAATTTTTCTGAAAAATTGGAGGAAAAATATCCACAGATTTTCGTGAAAATTCATATTATAATAGAGGAAATTTGGCAACGTCTGATGTCTCATACGGCGTTTTTCGAGCCGCGGCCGGACGCGCGAGACAGCGTGGCATGGCGTGGCGTGGCGTGGCGCCGCGGCGCATGCGTGCGGGCGTCGCGACGCCACAGCTACGGTCAGCTTGGCGATAAAAATTGCACAATTTTCAGTGGAAACGACCTCAATGGCGGCGGCTAATTGTGCCGGGATGGGATTCCGATTATGACGGACGCTCCATCATCAAGCCGAGCACGTCTCGCTCCGGTCTCGTCCAAGCTCATCGCTCGATGGCCCATCCTTGGCATCGCTTCAAAGGTTCGCCTTGGAGGCATTCCTGGCCACCCGTCCGTGTACTCGTGTTAACAAAAAACCCCGCATAAAATACATCCACACGCTGCCAAAACTGCCGTGCTGAGGAAAAACGCTGTATGAACTATCTAGAGTTGCCAAATTTCCCATGATCAAATATTTAATTTTGAGAAAAAAACATGAACTTTCATCTTTGAAATTTTCAGGTAATGTAGATTTAGTTATGAAGAAAATTTTCTTAAAAATTGAACGGAAAGATTCACAAGTTTTTTTGAAAATTTGTATTAAATCAAAGGAAATTTGGCAGCTTACAAAGATTCATACGCGGTGTTTTCCCTGTGCACGGTAGAAATGTCGCCACCTTCCGGCATAAGTATCACAAGCGCCAATCTCCATAAGACCAATGTAAACCGGAAAAAGTTAATCCCGACTGTTGTAGACGCAACAGAGACAAGAATTTTGAATAGAAGTTCAGAATGACTTTTATCACCTGGATGTAATCAGGGCTGGATTTACCTACTTGCCGTCCCCTTCTCATTCGTTTTGAAACATCAATAAAAACCATCAATTGAACGTGTCGGCGGGGGAGGGGTGCATAAGACGCGTTTACTCGTGTTGGACAAATTTTCTGGGAAAGCCTTGTCAACACTAGCAAAAGTTCACGGAACTTTGCGCGAAACTGAAGTTTCGTAAACCTATCTCTTTGTGGACAAGGCCTTCCATTCATATGAAATGAACGATGAAATTATGAAAGAACAAACATAAATATGATTTAATGATTTTAACTTCGACCGCGCCGCGCAGACCGCACCGTGTTTGGCGCAATGCGTGAAGTATTCTGACAGTCTTGTAGGTACTATGATTTTCACGCCGACCGCTGCTGAACGCACTGTGTTTGACGCAATGCGTGAAGTATTCATG